ATTTTGTATTGTTTTTCAATTTCTTGTCACTGCGTCCCATAAATCTTTGATTCTCATAACGTCATGCTTAACCCATGTGGACCAGGGGAAATTTTAACTTATGTAAATTGTTCCATTTGTATCCGTTATCTAACGATTTCCAAAAATAGGTTGACGAAGAATTTCCTCGTACCTTGAGGGGGGAGCTCTATTAGGCAAAGGTAACTTACACGAGGATTTTAACAGAATTATCCAGAAATTGTCTAGCACTAGATCTCTCGTAATTTCCCCCCTCTCTCCTTCCATGCAGGAGCTTGCCTGGGCTTTAGGAATGCTCCAATAACGATCCTCTACCCATGTGAGGGGATGAATGTTCTTTCTAGATTCTGGCGCCAACCTACATATCTGTTCCAATGCTAAAGTATGTCAGGGAGTTCAGTCTCAAACATCAATCTCTTCAACCAATGGAGAATTAGTGCCTCACATTGAAGCATGGGGTGTATAATTATCAATCCTCCCCTTGCCTTTGGTTGGATAATGGTGAGCCAGGCTACGCTGGGAATCACATGAGGAGATTCATAGTCACCTCTACAAGAATGCCATAAGGGTTTACTTTAACTCGTTGTAAGAAATTTTGTCCAGTTCCCATATCGCCAACTTGTACCAAATGGAGGTCAAGACTACATTGTTAATGAGAAGCGCCCTTCCAAACAAGGATGTGTGCTTTTTTTTCTAGTTTTCCATTTTTTTAAGCATTGGTGTTGTAATCCAAACATCATTTGTATTTGGCTTCCCTTGTGCAATTCAAATTGCCCCCAACACATATCTGATATTTGGGAGAAGTGGTTCATTAGAGCCTTAATTTCTTCTAGATTTTCTTGTGAGGCCTCCATCATAATAGTTAAATCAGCAACAAACGTAGAGTAAATGGATATAGCCTCCTCAGGGATACTTGTTAATCGAAGACGATTTATATCAGGATTGATTTTTAGATTTTTCCCTAGGGCTTCCATGATAATGACCAAAGGAAAGGAGGCTAATGGGTCCCCTTAACACACCGAGCTTTGAAATGTAATATCGGGTGAAAGTAACCCATTTACCTAAATCCTTGTGGTTGTGTTGGAATGGAGAATATGAACCCATCTTCTTATACTAGGCCCAAAATTCATTTTTACCAGACAGGTTTCTAAAAAAAAACAATCCACATGATCATAAACTTTTTCAAAATCAATAAATATGAAAGCAGTATTTTGTTTATTTTGCCTTGAGAGCTTCACCATTTGGGAGAGGTGAAAGGGTCGATACCATATCCCAACGGTGCCAGATTAGGGCAAAGGGTTTCGTCATCTCAATTATCAGCGTGTTTATTGTCTCTTCCCTTGGTCAATAATGATTTAGTTGTGGCAAGATGGTAAGTTGGTTTCAAGGGGGAGAGTAGTGCTCTGCAGGGGCATCACAAGGGGGGAGGTGAATGACATGTAGGGCGTGAGGGCAGAGTTTGCGGGATGTTCTAGTCTGGGGCCGAGAGAGATTAATGGATCGACATCATATTCTGGTGGTGGACGATGAGGGCAAGGGGTTGATCAAGGCATACTTTGGGGCAAGCCGGATGCCTTGGTGGGAGCAAGGTGGAAACTGGGTCTGTCCTTAGTGGGGGTTGAGGAGGACTGTTCGTGATTAAGGCGGTGTTTAGTGGAGGTAGCGAAGGGGCGGAAGACAATTTTTAATCTCTCGTTCTAAAACATTCGACTCATCAACATCCTTGGTCTTTTCAAGATTCTATAGACGCCACATTCTGAATTTTAGGTGTCGTTATACGCTTAGTTGTTTTCAGATGTAGTTGTGCATCGTTGAATGTTTAGGCTAATCGATGCTAGAACGACGCTGACAGGTGTTGGGCCATTGCCTTGTAACTTGTACGCAGGGGTGTGAGGCCTTGTAAAGAGATTTGGGGATTGCCAAGGGTGGAAGGTAATCCAGTGACTAACCGGGGGCTACATCCAGGCTGACAATGATCATAGCTATTGCGGGTCGCGTTGGCCTGTAACCTAGTCTGATTGGGGGTGTGAGATTGGGCATAGGCCTAAATGAGACGACAACATAGCTAGCTTTGGATTAGGCTGGATCGACAAGGTTTCCCTTTTACTCGGGCAACTGTCACAACCTTCCTTTGGACCACTTTCTTTCGGAGTCTTTTTCCCAACTCCAATCTTGCGAGTACGTCTTGAACAATCTTTTGTGCATCCGGGGCTCCAGTCGTGGCTGACTCACGCTCCTTACGTTTTCGCCTATGTTGGCGCATTTGGAACAGGTATACTTGGTCCAAATCACCCCCTTCAATACTTTTCATTATTGTAGCCCATGTAAGTTTTTTTTTAACGTCTCCACGGCTCATCAGTGCTCCCCTTTCTAACGCCGAGAAAAATCATAAGAGTACTATAGCGCATTGCTCTTCATCTGCTATCCCAAGAACCTTCTTTGCTCTCTTCCTAAAGGCAGAGACAGAAATACCCACCGTCGTGTAATCATTCTGACTCATAGCCTCTAAGTTCGATACGGCTAGCATGTCATCTCCAAGTTTGCATCTCTTCTACATTTTATCTTTGAACATGTTACAACTTTCGTGTGCGCTGAATATCACTTTATTTACTTCATAGTGGAGCTCGTACCACACGTACTTTAAGACACGCTTGAATTTGTCAACCTCCGACAGTCTCACCATCGGTTGTACCGCCATTTTCAACCAATTGGAGACCCTTTCCCCCTTAAACAAGAAGGTTTCAACCCTCATAATTTGTCCTCGAGCTACTTCTTGCCGATCCAAGGCATCGACCAAATCTTTCACCATCAGACCTCCTTCCACACCATCAGCAGCAGCCTTCACGTTCGTCATTTTTTCTCACATTTTTAGGCTTCCCTTTTGTCAAAGAAAAAACATACTCAGCATACTATCACTCTATTATACTATATCGTCGTCTATCAGGCTTACCTTTGGCCAATCTTTAAAAATAAACCCATTTTTCCGCTTATAACGATAATATTTTTCCTATTTCTAACATGTTTCTTATACATACCATATCACCGTCCCGATGACTTAAACGACCTATTTGTCATAAAAAATGCTTACGTGACTCATAAGAAATAAAACATGTACAATTTTGGCCGATCACACCAACCTACCCGGAGCCGTCAAGGCTAGCGGGACAGAGGGTTGCAAGGGCGCTCAATGGGATGATCAATCTAGTAGCGCCAACATGGCACTTCAATCTGAGGTCAACAGGTGAGCTAAAAAGGAAGGTGCACAGGATCACGAAATGGGCACAGGTGAAAGGGAAAGGCGGATGCGTAAAAGGAATGTCCTTTGACGTAAAAGAAATGATTAACGATTTACTGCATTCGTCAATATGGGAAGCTGTGGAATGGCTTGCGGGGGTTCTAAGGGAAAAAGGGAGGAAGGGGGTGTATGTTAAAAGAAGAGGGAAAGGGGTATCTTTTGCGAAACAGAGATGCGAGGATTGGGTGTTTCTAAGCGTGAAATAGGTAGTGAGGTATGTGCAGTATGAGTTGGATCATACCTTTTTAGTCGCAGCGGGGAGGTTGCTTGGGCAGACAAAAGGGGTGCCTATGGGAAAATGTAGCAACCCACCCCTGACCTGTTTATTGTGTATTTTTAACGAGGTAGCATTTCTCGGCTCACTAGGTAAGGACAGGGTACTAATTCAGGGGGTTCGACTCGTCGATAACCTATCGATCTTTGATTGGAAAGGGACGACGAGGAAAGGGCGGGAGAGAGCAGAAGGAGTAATGAGGAAGGTAGCAGGGATCTATGATAGGAACTTGCAGCTGAAAAGGACGGATGTGGGGAAGGGAATCTGGTTGGAACCCAACAGAATTGAGATTCGATATAAAGGGAAAAACGACGATGACGTTTGGTCGGAAATGCAGAGCTTTGAGTCGTATTCTGACAAAAAGCAGAAAAAAGGAGTCATCTGTAGCGCTTTGGCACGGATTCGGGCCTGCACGACGTCGGCCGAATTAGCGGAAATGCCACTGCTGTCATTAAGCAGGGAATTGAGGCTTCTTAGGTACCCGAGAGAGTTTTTTAATGAGACCTTGGGACGGTTCGTGGGACGGAAGGCACCAGAGTGGGAATGGATTGGCTAGGCAGGTCGGATGGGATCAACTGCACTTTAACAGTTGTTCTCCTCCATTCCATACCAAGAGGGTCGCCTACCCCCTGAGGATACCGGCATCTGGCGCCGGTTGAAATGTACGTAAGGGACAAGCCAAAACGTCGTCAGTAGGAGAGTGGATGCTCGGGTTTTGACGAGGATATTTGGAGCACGGTTGTGGCGGGATACGGATGTTGTCGATGTAAACGTGCTTAATTTTTAATCTTCTTACGTGACCCCTTGATTGGGCTTCTTGCCTATGAAGAGTGTTTCGGTGTGTATGTGTGACGCATGACAGCGTACATGTTCTTCTTGGCTTCAGCGACGGTTTGCGCTCGCTCACTTGTTCCACTTGTTCCACATGTACAATTTCGCCGATATCGCATCACTCATTCTTAATCGCATCTAATAAGCGTGCTTTTAGCCAAGATATGACAAAAATTAAAATAAAAAAGGTATTAACTTTACATGTTGTTGTGCGTGTCAGGGTACATAAGTATACTGCTAAACCTTTTTTCACTCTCAATTACCCTCATTATACTATACTATACTTAACTCACTCAATCAAAGTTCACTCATTGACTTTAATTTTCACTAGGCAAACGCTGATATTGAACGGTTAAAACTTTCGGCCCTTAGTATAACTACATCTTTACATGAGCGTAATCTAACACTGTCGTGGCAACTTAGGTAGCTTAGTGGTTGCATACAAGTACCAAAGACTCTTTTTCGAGCACATAACAATGTTTTCGTTAAAACTGAAATTGTTTTCATGTTCACTTTTTTTGCAAGTGCAAAATAACACATATAAGATATGAGGAAATGAGGAAAATAGCGATGAAACAAGGCGATGGTGAGAACTTTTTGTTAAATAACTTATTAAAATTGTGGAAAGCAATATCAACCATAGAAAATATTGTTAACCATCAACAAAGTGTTCAATGACATTTTTAACCATAAACAAAGTGTTGAATGACACACACCACTTGAAACTGTTATTAACCATCAACAAAGTGTTGAATGATATCATACTCTATGTATCTGGAGTGTTCACTCATGCTCGACCATCGATAAAATGTCGAATGCAATTTTATGCCTCATATATGGGATGTCATCTTGCGAGAAATCGAATGGTGGAAAGCGACATTTCGCAAGCAAAGATGCAAAACCTAACATAAAAACACCACAACTACAACCATCATGTTGGACGGGCACCCCATCAAGCGATGTCTCGAAAGATGTCGTAAGGTCGTCCATGTGATATCTTTCATGAAGATTTTGACGTTTGAATTCCATTCTAAAAAACTCGGCTAATACTTCAAGCGGTGCGAGGTGGTCGCCGCGAGGGAGATAGTACAGAAACTGAAATTCACACTTGCGACCGTCTATTGTAACACATGCCAAAACCCAGTGGTTCCCAAAGTTCAAAGGGATATGTACGAAGTTAAAATCAAAAATATATTTTTCCCTAACCCACTTCCTTCCCTCGCAGTAAGCAATTTCTCTGAACGTCGTGGATGCCAATCTGACATAGAAAAAAAAATCTACAATATACTCAGATGGAATGTCCTTCGGACTCTCGTCTTGAATCTCTCCTCTAAACATCAAACTCTCTTTGGCGTTATCGTTGTCGATCTGGATGGCTAACAAATACAAATTCATGGTTTCGTCGTTCAATCATCCTCCCGCTTCAATGATGATCATGATGTCTTTCTTTTCCACCTTTCAATCACCATTGTAAACAACAATGTCGTATTTTTCATTATCTTCGCCAGTGCTCACAACCCTCTTAACATACTGCATCTCGACCTCAGTGAGGCGTTGCGTTGGTAGAGGAATTTTGAACGACCGACCAGGCACTGCATACAAACACACAGGTAAACAACAACGGTATGTCTAAGACTTTCATACAAGTGGTACCTTCCTGAAAATAGATAAGAAGCAGACACAAGTTCATGACGGTGCTTGTTTGCCTACTTCGCTGTCGCTGTCGCTGCCGCTTTCCACAATAGACAAAGTGCAAACTTCACGATGCAATTTCTTACCTTGTTCCGTTCATATTCCCACAGCTTTAAACATCCTCAAAGCAGTTGGCTTCACAAACGTGACCGCCACATGTTCGGCACGTCTTTTAATTGTTTTGGGCAACAACGGCGGCGTCGACAAGGCTTGCAAACCACGACGTATAATATTCTTGTCACTGTTTCTTTGCGAATGCACGCGAGGCGCTTTCATATTTTTGTCACTGTTCCTTTGCGAGTGCACGTGAGGCGTTTTCCACAGTCCTTTACGCATGCCTGCACGTTCATCAATGTAGAGACCACAATCATGACCCATAGTAACAAGTAGTATGAGTTATGTTCGTTATGATGCTATTCAAAATCTGCTTAAACAACATGAATGTAAATGAAGATTAATAGCAGTCAAGTATTTAATTTATCAGTCAATATATTATGAGTCAACCATGTACTTCACAATACCGATTCGGACGCACCATAAGGCACACTACATATATGCAAATAAACATGGAATAGTTTCAATGCACAATATTACACATATATTCCCTTCGATTACCGATTCGGACGCACCATAAGGTACACTACGTATATGCAAATAAACATGAAATACTTCCAATGCACAATATTACACATATATTCTCTTCGTAAGGCGAGTGCCCACCTCGACGACCAACTGCGATTTTCCCTTCAATATGGTTTTTTTTCTCACCTCCCAACTGTCTTGATGTTACAAGGGATTCTTCGATGGTTATCACTTGAACATATGGGCTCAACTGTTGTACAAAAGGTTCAAGTGTATTCTTTTGTCCTTCCTCTACAGGTGTATGTTGCTCTGGAGTAGTCAGTACAATATGTCCTTCATCCTCTTCGATGTCAGATGCTTGGATTGTTTCTTTCCCCACGAGTCCCTCAAGAGTGTTTTTCCTCCCAGCAGTAATGGATATAATAGGCGAATCATGAGACTCTCCTTGTGCCTTCTCTGACAGACTTCGAAATCCGATACGAATATCGGAGTCGCCGCCAGGGGTCTTTTCATCCAATGGACTGTTAGGCTCGACCACCGGTTCCATCTTCCCCACAAACATGGTTTCCTCCATTGTTCCGCATACAGTACGCGCCTCCTGAGACCCTCGTCGTGCCTTTTCCGTTGTTAGCGAACTTCGAAATTCTGTAGGAAATTCTAAATCGCCTCTGAGTGTCTCTTCATCGAATGGAGTGTGAGGCTCGCCCTGCGTTTCCGTCTCCCCCAGAAACATGGTTTCATCCATTGATGTCCTAAGTCGCCCTTTACTTTTCAACCCGCATGACAAAATATCCATTGACTCCCACATATGGTCGTGCGGGCTACCAATTTTGGCGTTCTCGCCGACTGGAAAGACACTTGCACCATTGGTATCACTCCATATAACATCTGTCACAATGGCACTTGTGAGTGTTGTGGTGGCACTTAGTCCACCTTCACATCCTTCGTCGACTTGTGCCACTGCAGTGGACAGTTTCATCTGCGGCAAACCACCAATGTTTGTATATCCTTCTACAGGACGGCCGCTTCCTTCGTGCTGACGATTTGGTTGCCCTTCTGTAGCGGCACTTGTTGGTTGACTGGACCTAGGCATTTCTGATGTCCCTCCACCCTCACCACTCCCTCCCTTATCATATCCTCCGTCGTCACTACTTGGATGTTCAGCTCCCTCTCCACTCGGTCCACCACCAGGGCCTTGTCCCTTTTCCGCTCCGGTGTCGTTGCCCTCTTCAATATACCAGTTGTATCTGTATGCCGGGCTTGTTTCTCTATCATAAAAGTCTTCCAAGTACTCAAGTCTTCACAATGCCTTGAGCTCCTGAAAAACCTCCTTCGTCCTTGTGTCCACTCTTGATGGAGAAACATTAGGGTTGAGTCGAGCAAGCCGCTTCTTGATCTGATCCTCTGCATGTCTATAAAACTTTGATTGCGCCATACGTCTGTCGGAGCAAAATTGCCACTTACCATCTTGTTTTATTGCCATCACCCATTGCCCTTTCGCCAGAGCCGGTTAAAAATGTCGTGGATGCCACACGATGTCGTGACCTCACTTATCATCATCCATCATCGTATGGTCATCTCGACAAGCGATAAGACCCGTCAATTGAGCGATGTCCGCAGGGATCTTATCGCCAATCTCATACTCATACTCCAACGCCTCTGCAAGTTCATGTTGTTCTTGTGCGGTCTGAGGAAGAAGGAGACGTTGCAATAAAGCAGGGCTTTATGCAAATGCTGTCAAATTCGTTAATACCTCGGGGGAGACTGCAGCACCGAACAGAGTTCTCAAGGCCGTCGCTTGATCGGACATCAATCCTACAGATGATGACACTCTTGTTGTCAAAGCGGCGGTGCTGGCAGGAGGTGTAGTTAGTGGAAGAGTTATTGCACCGGCAGGCACGACACCAGAAGTCCCAATTGAAGGAGTCCCTGATGACGTCCCTGTTATAGCCATCTTGTGAGAAGACGTGGTACTTGCCTTTTGCCTTTCACTTGCCAAGGCCGCTTGCAAAGTACCATCAACACTTTCCTCTTCTGAGTCATCAGCGTCAAACTGTTCCCCGTCTGGAAAGGAAGCCGCGTACGCAGTGAGCGTGAAAGCACCGATTCCTTGATCAAAGTACATGATTTCCAACCGGTCAAGGAATGCAACCTCCTTGTCTGAAGACGCTTTATGATAACCTCGTAGTGAAGTCTCAACTTTCCGCCTGCGAGTAACATACGCACGGTCTCCCCTATTCTCTGGCCGCATCTCGAAAAGGAACTGCCAGATGTTCGGCATATTTTGACCCACCTTGTGCACGAAATCCCGAGCTTCGTCATGGCAAGGTGGTGGCTTGATGAATTTCGCATGATATTCTCGAGTGTCGACCATCTTGTTCACGAATTGCACAAGGAAGTCGAACTTCATGTCCTCGCCTTCTAAGACTACGCAATGGCGATTACTTTTCAACAGCTCCCACACCAATGCTGCATGACCCTTTCCCAGAAACACAACAGCTTCATCCACTGGGCAGAATTGCTCCAGCGTCTCTACCATTGAGTTCGTCTCCCTCTCCATTCCTTCGTACACTACTTTCTTTTTCGACTCCATGCCTGCCATTTTCCACTTCGTTGGCTGAAAGTTCTTCTCTACTACGTCCGTCAGCAACTTCGGCTTTCGCTCTCGCCTCGCAAGTGTTGAAATATCAGTTGCTAAGGAACTAGAAGACGGCCCTGTCGGTTGGATATCTTCAAACAAAGGAATTGTATTCCGATGGTAATCCCCGTCTTCGAAGTACATAATGAGCACCATCCTGTTTGTATCCTCCATTGGCAAATTCGCAACCTTATAGGGATGTCGAACCTTCTGCTGCTGTTACCGAGTCCACTTGGCAATTGACATGTGGATATCCCACTGCACCACCCGCCGGAGAAACGTCAGCTCACAGGACCGTGGAACGAAGCATATTAACATCCAGTACTCCCCTCCCACCATTTTCATGAATCTCAAGAGCCCATAAAAAACCGGCTCTGTCCACATCGCCATTTGAGTTGGATGACACAAATCAAGCACGACAGTGTAGCATGTCAGATGTCAGATGACCCTATAGACCTCATTACAATCTATGACATTTGAGACATCGCTAGGATCCCATTGGAAAGGCACAAAAACAGACTTCACGTTCTGTTTTTGGAAGTGAATATATTTCGCCTTTCCGGACAAGCGAATGCCCTCCGTACCTCACGTTGCCGACCTATGCAACAACTTCCCCACAAAATGCTCGAACTCAGGAGGACACCTTTCAGCGAGAGATTTGATCTTCTCAAAACCTGTTCCCCTTTCTCATCTTCACCTCCCAGCGTTGGCGGGAACGATTTTATCTAAGGCAAATCCTTGAAATGCTCCCTGTGATCAACCCATCTCTCGTAGGTAAGACCCTGATCACGATACTTGTCGAATAAATCAGCAAGGTCCATGAAGAAAAGGTCTTTCCAATCGGACGGCTTCTTGGCTGGGTCTGAAATAAAGATGAAGTAATGGAGCATTCGCAACATCGCTCTCTCCGTTTTAACGACTTCAACATAGGTCTCCATTGAATGCAACCCAGCGTCTCTTGCAGCTTTGCTTTGTTTCGGAGCCAAGATAACCGCACCTCCTAAGACATCCCGCAAGATCTGCAGCCGCTCACGCCTCCCCATCGTGGAAAGTGATTTCCACGATCTGACATCGAGATCATGGACCGGAACTAGGAAACTCGATCCTTTTGTTCCTGGTATCCAATGCACTGGAACTCTAGATGCACCCTTCACCTCGAAACCAGGACCTTGCTTTTGAGCTTTCCCTGCTTTGCCTTGTTTGGTGATAGGCTTCACAGCGTCTCTTCCCGGCAGTTGACCGCTTTCCCAAGCCACATACACTTTTCCACCTTTTCAAACACGTCTTGCGATGCCCTAGCTAAAATCATGTAAGGACCAAGGAAGTCGGACCACTCCGAACTCCACGGACTCAGTGACATACTAACATAATGATCTATTCCGGTGACTCTAAGTGCCTCCCCTGCGAACCTTCTATACGCCGCATTTTTCACATCAGCCCCCTGGCCACCTTTCGCCTCAGGACAGTCAGACACCTGCCACAACTTCCTGATATTCCGAACTACGACGCTCTGGTGAGCCCTAGATCCCGGCGTCTCGTCTTTGTCGACCCCAGCAACCGGGGTTCCCTTCAACTTCTTGGGTGAGTGTTCGACACCTGCAGTGCTCCTGCCTCATGAGCGTTTCCCTGCTCTCTCTGAAGAATCCATTATGTAGCCCGCAGTAGAAACCAGTAACAATCAAGCTGCCATGCACGGATCGACAACACGAATGCGAAGAATCAGCAACGACTTTGTTCAGTGGACCGACATGCATGCACACCAACTCAAACACTGCTTGAGGTGAAAACATCTACCATGTGGCGCTCAGCCGAGGTCCCTTGCAGCCATGGCACGCACATGGACACGTCTGACAACAAGACGTTCGACGGGGGCATGTGTGAGCCGCTTCCCTGCAGTGCTCCTGCCTCATGAGCGTTTCCCTGCTCTCTTTGAAGAATCCATTCTGTAGCCCGCAGTAGAACCCAGTAACAATCAAGCTGCCATGCACGGATCGGCAACACGAATGCGAAGAATCAGCAACGACTTTGTTCAGTGGACCGACATGCATGCACACCAACTCAAACACTGCTCGAGGTGAAAACATCTACCATGTGGTGCTCAGCCGAGGTCCCTTGCAGCCATGGCACGCACATGGACACGTCTGACAACAAGATGTTTGACGGGGGCATGTGCGAGCCGCTTCCTGCTCGAGCACGACAACTCTTTTCTCCTCTTCCCCCCTTCTTTTCTCTGTTCTGGCCGCCGATTATTGAACGGGGGGTGTGGAAAGGTGCACAGTGGTGGTGCGAAGGGGTGGGGTAGGGATAGGACCTCCCACTGGTGTTTGTCGATAGGGATCAATGTTTGGATGTGCTTGATATCGCCTGAGTGGAATTGATTTCTCTTTACGAATATTGATGGGCACACCGATTACTATGAACACAAGTATTTGCCATGTGGCGGGCCGAGGGTGAGTCGCTTGGTCCCGGCCACATGGAGAGGACGGAAGAGTAGGACTCTTATCTGAGGCTGCTCTTTCATCCTTTTGTGATTTCGATTTTGTTAATTAGTGCTATAGGGGAGACACATGCGCTGGCAACACTGGGTAGAGAATTGCAGAAGTAGAAGCCAAACCTTGTCCGGATCTTTCCCCTTCTTACTGTACCGGACAGTAGTTGAATAGGGCAGGGCAATGGTCCTAGGGTTTGATGGGGAGTCAATCCCCTCGCTCGAAGGCAATCAATGTTGCCGATCACCGAGTGCCTGCACATTTATAACTGTTCAAACAATTGATTACGGTGATCAGGGACGCTGGACCCACTTTCCAGCAGGTGTTGCTCCCCACCAATAGATGGAGCCCTCCCAAGACTGTTAGTGGTGTCTGCTCCTATCAGCACCCCTAGCATCATCTTGGGTCGTCTTTTTGGGGGGAGAAAAAAAAAAAAAAAAAAAAAGACACACACAGCTGATTTCTGAGTTTTGCTCATGGACTGAATGCCTTGCTGAGTTTTCCGCTTGTTACTGAGTTCTCTAAGTCTGTGTGTGTGCACGCTTGCTGGTCTGCATGTCTGTCTGAGCGCTTGTCGGCTTGAATGTGTGTGTGACCCGCAAGGGCACTTGTTCGTTCAGTGGGCCCGAAGGGCCGGTGCTTACCTGTGGCCGTGACATTGAGGATTTTAGCGGGAGAAAACACTCAAGCGGCGGGGAAAGAGGCCCATGACACTTGAAGCAGCAGAAAACACTCTAGCGGGTAGGCCGGTACCACACCAGGTAGAGGTAGATGTGCCGGGTACTCGGGGCCGAGCAGAAGAAGACAAAAGTTGGCATTTTTACAGGCCCAGTAGTTGTAGGCTAGGTCTAGGCGGGTGCCAGTCGAACCAGTCTGAGTCTAGGACCTGTACGGGCAATATCAGAGTCTGCAATGATGTTTCCCTCCGAAAGGGAGGAGGTACCAGTTGGTTGGAGGCCGCGCGGACTAGGAAGTCACTCGCCACGAGGCAAGCAGGCCGCTATATCTCCAGGACGAGCCAGTTGTTCCTCATTGTCGGTGCGCAAGTTTGGCGACACACTGGTTAGAGTGCTGGCTGGAGCAGAGTTAGCACTCAGCTGCGCTGCTGGGGAAGGAGCAAGGACACGGAGGAGGAAGAAAAACAGGACTAGGAGCGCCAGAGGTACTGACCTGGCTATGGTGGATGTCATCTTCATCACCTTGGTGGGCGCTGCAGCAGGAAGGCCCAGTTGGGGCAGGGCTACACCAAGAAGCTTCGAGGCAGAGTCAGGCATGGCGGCCTGAGCTAGAGCAGCCATAGTTGCTTTATGTTGTCCTTTGGACAGCAAGGCGATGCCCTGGTAGTCCGCCATAGCCTCGGCCTATGAGGAAGAGAGAGAGAGAGGGACGGCCATGGCTATGGTGGACTTCAAGTGATATCTGCAGTAGAAGAGGGACTCGGACATTGATTCTGGATCAGCCATTCAACATTGTTATTATTATTCTTGTTTGAATAAGAGAGGAGGAGATTAGGAGGAGGAGAGTGGTTGACGAAGAACAAGAGCATTATCATTGGTCTATGCTGGTGTACATCATCTTCTTCTTCTTTCTTCTTCGTCTTCTTCTTCTTCTTCTTCTTCTTTTCCTCCTCCTCTCTTCTCTCGAGTTCATTCATTTCTTTTTGCAAGTGGACAGCATTGCACTTTCTGATGAATGTGTACTTCGCCTGTTTGCGTGTGTGTGTGTGTGTGTGTGTGTGTGTGTGTGTGTGTGTGTGCGTGTGTGTGTGTGTGTGTGTGTGTGTGTGTGTTGTGTTTCAGTGGATGATAAGTGTGTGTACACAAGGCACTCAATGGTACGAAATCCAATACCACCAGATCTCCGAAGTACTACATTGGACACCTATGGAACAAAACTTGCAGGACTGGAACAGATCCATCCTGTAGTAGAAGGTGGGAAATGAACCAGGAGCAGCATCTATGCTCCAAATGCAATCTTGCAGATGAACCAGACGAAGCACAACGATACAGCACAACGCAAACACTGCAGTAGCACAACGATACAGCACAAAGCAAACACTGCAGTGACAGACTGTTTCGTCGGACTTGCACCAATGCATCAGGAGGCTGAACCCTCAACAGTCTGCCTGATCCCCTCACAATGCTTTCACTCATAACCAATTTCGAACCCTGATGCAAATGGGCAAACACAGCAAAACATGCAGCATCGCATGGGGAAGGCAACTAATAGCACACATATCGGGCAAGAAGCAAGGCAAGTGGGTTGGCTGCAAGTTGACCCCAGCATCCCAATGAGAAGCCCCGAGGATTTCCCAGACATGTTCCCTCTGGCAGCCACAACCATAGTAGAGAGAATGGTTTGGTCAGCAGTAGAAAAGGGGGGTAGCTTAGACTCTCAGTCAAGAAATGGGACCAGGGGGAGGAATGAACAAGTGTCCAACAGTGTATCTGACGCCAGGCTCAGGGTGAAGAGGTTCTCCCTCCTCCCAATATCCTGCTAAAAAAATATCACCTGGTCTCCAGGATAATCAAGGAAAGCGGATGGATACAGCCTCAAACAAGGGCTGAAGGATGGCAAAAGAGGTTGGTGAGGGGAGGGAGGAATAAGTCTTGCGGCAGCAGGTATGTCTCAGAAGTGAGGTCTCAGAATAATATAATGAGGTTGTGGTCTCGAAAGAAGGAACTGCAGTTACAGTCTTGAGTTCCAGCAGGTGCAGCAGGTGCAGCAGGTGCAGCCCAAGGCGGATGGGTGGTAAGAGGGGCTGGTAAGGGGAGGGAGGAAC